GAGGGGTCAGAATTTTCTCCAGAGTTTTTGAATATTGGAACCACAGATGCCATTTTCTAACAAGCAGGAAAACAAGACTCAGTCAAACACTTGTTAAATAGTTTAGGGAGAATTGAAGAAAGTTCTGGAGAACAATTCTGCAAGACTGTGACAAGAATGTTGTCTGGACCACAAGCTGTAGACGAGTTTAATTGAGATATGACTTTAGCAACAGAAGCCGGAGTGATTTGAATGTCTAACAATAGGTCAACCTGTTTGACTGGAATGGAAGGAAGAGAATGTCTATAAGATTCAAGAGTGGAATTAGAAGAAAAGTTCTTTGCAAATAGTTCTGCTTTATCCTTAGGAGAGGTAATAAGATCAGTCCCGTGAATAAGAGATGGAATGTTAGATCTACCCTTGTTAATAATGCTGTTAATAAAGATTTTCCAAAAGTCTTTAAAGCCGTACTTCTGCGATAAGATGCGAGATTTAGTGAACTGAGAATAATGGAGTTTAGCATCAGAAAGCACCTTTTTACATCGATTTCTTGCAATAATAAATAGCCGTTTGTACTCAAGAGAGTTGTTCTTTTGAAAAAGATGAAAAAAATGATTACGATTGGATATAGCAGCCGCACAAGAAGGATGGTGCGATGATAAGGTGAGCCCAAAATAGAAGTACGAGAAGAAAGATTTATAGAGATCATTGCATGGTCAGAACCACCTAAGGGAGAAAAGGGAGAAACTGAACATAAGCTAGGGTCAGAGACAAGACATAAGTCAAAGAGTGAAGGTAAATGATTAGGGTTGTCAGGAAAACGAGTCACAAAGTTAACTATCTAAGTAAGAGATTGAGAAACGCAGAAGTTAAAGGCTTTAGTGCCAGCAGGATCAGTGGTGTTAGAGCTAAGCCATTCAGTGTGATGGGCATTAAAATCACCAACAACAACAATATTGGCAGAGGGGTAAAGAGAGAGGGCATGGTCAATTTGATCAGAGATAACATCTAAGAGAGTGCAATCATGGGAAGAAGGAGAACGATAAAGAACAAAGAGAAAGGTGATAAAGTGAAGAGGTGCTAGGCGAAAGCACATAAAAGAATGGTCAAAGGATTCGAACCTGATTTCACGACAAATAGGGGAATTAATGCGTATGTATACCCCTAAACCTAGCATGTGACTATTGGAGTTTTTACGAATCAAAGGATAGTACCCATCAACACTGACATTTGAAGAAGGAATTGCAGAACTTAAATTTGTTTCACTGAGTGCAAGCAAGTCTGGTGAATTTTGCAGGAGGTAAGACTCAACTGATGGAAAGTTGCTTCATAGACCGAGAAAATTTGTAAAAGATATATTAAAACATTTAGGTGGTGGGGATGGTTTTTTAGGTTTTAAATTTTTGGTTACTTTGGTCATGATTTGGGTTTAATGAGAACTAGACTCATTCATAGATAGAGCACAGCCTCCTAATCAATGAGCTATGCAGTTGTCTCAGTCCTGTTAATTAACCCTAAGCCGTGACATAGGGCTCCTTATGTGGCCTTGACAATGCACACCAAAAGCATCAACAGGGACACCATCCATGCGCAACATGGCACTGTTAATACTCTGATATTTTGCAGCTGTTGATGGAATCAGCCTCTCTGAGAGCTACCACAGAGTTCGGGAAACCTTACTACCAGCCGGCCTCAGAACCATTAAACTGAGTTTTATAGCTGTACCCTCATATGGAGATAACAGGAAGAGGTGCATAGCCATTATCAAGGAGGCATAAGCAAAGTTCTATGAGTAGAGTCAAGGAGATCCAGTATTCATCATCCTAGGCAGGAAACAATGTAACACAGGTTACATCTACGCCAGCCTAATAGATGAAGAAGGGGTTCGAGGCTGGTTAGCAGAATTTTTCTGCTTACCCCTAAAGTCTTTATATATATATATGTATATATATATATATATATATATATATATATATATATATATATATATATATATATATATATATATATATATATATATATATATATATATATATATATGTATATATATATATATATATATGTATATATATATATATGTATATATATATATATATATATATATATATATATATATATATACACCCACACACAGTGCTCGAAATAGCAGCCAATCAAGGATCAATCATCGGCTACTTTTTGAAAAATTGACATTCGGATCTCCTAAAATTAAATCTGGCCGATCAAGTTTGATCAGTTGTAATTGCTTGTCAAACTTTAATAATAATTAATAGAAAAACATTTAACATCGAAATTATTATCAAAATGAGTTAAAAAATTAAAAACGATTAACATAAAGTATTAAACATTAAAATAAAGTATATTTTAATTTTCATTCATTTTAATTTAATAATGAACAATTTATTTTAATTCTAAATAAAATTAAATTGGGAAAACAAACATTTTATTTTTAAACAAAATAATTAAAATAAAAATGACTAAAACAAAAACTAATTTACAGGCTTGGTCGGGAAGCGGGTGCAATCGCACTCGATAACTGACCACGGAAATAATATTTAGTTGCGAAAAACTGGCCAGATTTTTTAGTCGTTTTGAGAACATTTAAGTTTTTGTATGTTTCCTTGTTTGTCCGCAGAATAATAAGTTCATTTTATCGTAAATTTTAAAATATTTTGTTTTACATGGAAACATACATAAATTTGAATGTTCTCAAACATCTTAGTACGGAAAAGTAAAAAAAGAATATTCGCGAACACTAAAAACCCGCCAAATCTACGAACAACTAATTCTATTAGTTCAAAAATTACTAACTATAATTTCTAGAGTATTAAAAAAAATACTAACCGAATGTCCTGATTATTCTGTTGAAATATTTTCAAAAATTGTGTTATTTGAGTTTTGTTACGTTTTTGTTGAGATATCTAGCATAAATTATTTTAAGAATATACTATCAAACGAACTATTATTTTAATTCTTGGAGCCACATCTACAAAGCTATAAATATTGTAAACTAACAATATTTGTTTACAATAATAAATGTTTCTAATTTATTTTTTAAACTTGTCGACGTTTTGTAAATATATTATAAATTTTATTAGTATATTCTAATTTTTTATATACAAGGGATGTATTTTTTATGTATGTAATGTATTTTTATGTATGTAAAGTATTTTTATGTATGTAATGTATTTTTATGTATGTATTTTTTATGTACATAATTTTATGTATGTGTATTTTATTCAAATGTAATCTTTGAAAACAATATGTGCGATTGATTTTGTAAACAAAAATACTTTCAATAATAACTGCGCTTTTAATGAAAATATTAATAATCGTCAAAGTTAATACAAATAATTTCAACCACTAATCCATTTTCCTCAGTGTACCCGATAACTGATTATTTCTCCTAAGAATAAAAAGTTTTTAAGTTCTTTGAAATTGGTTTACTAACTTCTATTATTTTTGCTTTAGCCATTCTTACAAACTCGTTATACATACAGTTACTTTTTTCTGTTTTAAATACTAATTCAAATTATAAAGCCCACTTACTAAAACATCATCAGCAGTATTGTGAAGCAGTTCCGCTTCCTCCTCACAATGCAATTTAACGCTTTTTTAAATTTCTATCTAGCTAATTGAATTTCTACAGTAACTCAATGATTTAATTATTTTATTTGTTCATCTTACTAAGAAATAAGACATAAGTATATAAATAAGAAATAAGACATAAGTATATAAATAAAAACTGGTAAGAAGACATAAGTATATAAATAAAAATTATATTATACTCTTTGATAAATCGAAGAACATTTGTTTCTTTATATTTGTTACTTCATATAAAAAATTTCGCTTAATTTTTTTAAAAAAATCATAAAAGAGCGACGTTTCAAAAATAATTGCTCTAATACATTTATTTTGCTTAAAGTTTTTTCGCGTTAAAAGCTATTTTTCTTTTTTTAACTGTCTCTCATCGGTCCAGTTAATCTTACTGGGCTTTTTTGTTTGTTTTTGAAATGTTCTCAAAATGACTAAAAAATCTGGCTGATTTTTTGCAACTAAATAATATTTCCGTGGTCAATTATCAAGAGCGATCGCACCTGCTTCCCGACCAAACCTGAATATATGTTTTATTTTTAACAAATATCTCTAAATAGAATACTTTTTAAAAAAAGGCAAAGTTTTATTTTAGTTCTAAATAAAATAATTTGTTTATAGTCTAAATAAAATAATTAAAATAAATATGGCAAAACTAATGTTAATTTAAGTTTCAAACAAAATAATTAAAATAACAACAGCAATGTTTATTTATACTCAAGATAAAAGATTTAAAAAAGAAATGCAACAAAATTGAATGTTTATTTTAATTTTAAATAAACAAACTAAATAAAAAACAAACAGCAAAACAAACGATTTATTTAAATTCTAAATAAAATAATTAATGTTAAAATGGCAATAGCAATTTGATTATGCAAGGTAAAAAAAAAAAAAGCATTTTAAATTTTAGTAAAGTTTTATAAAAAATTGATCGTCTAAAAAATGATTTGATTGTCTGGTTTTTAATTTTTTTATTTCAGCTGTTTCAATGTTGATCAGCAACCATTGAATAATTATTTTGAGCGCTGTATATATATATATATATATATATATATATATATATATATATATATATATATATATATATATATATATATATATATATATATATATATATATAAAAGTTTGCCTAAAAGTTCAACCATAAAACATAGAAACAAGGTCAGCGATTTTTTGCCAACCTCTAACACTTTAAGATTAGCAGTTTATAACATATATGGCTTATAATATATATGGCTTTTATAACAAATATAATAATAAAAATAATTAACATAAAACAAGTCTTGTTCGAAAAAGAAAATTAAATCAGAATGATTTAATTTTCTTTTTCGAACAAGGCTTGTAAAATTAAAAAAGAAGGAATAATTTTAAATATTTGCAATTTATTTAAATTAACTATTTAATTATAAAAAAAAAATTGATTTTAGGTATAAAAGAATCTGACACAGGTCTTGCTGCACCAGCTTTATGGGACCTTGCAGCGGATAAACAAACATTGCATTCTGAGCAACCACTTCAGGTAATAAAATAAGTAATGTAAAATATCCTAACCTAATCCTTTAAATCCATAGAATTTTTGGTTCAGATTGGCTGGTATTACAATGTGTATACACAATTACATGCAATAAAAACTAATAAAGTAGTAAAATGTGTTTTAATCTTTATAATAGAATAAATAATTTGTTTGTGTCAATTTTAAAAATTGCTTTTCAAATATTTTTTATTTTTTATGTGTACACTAGGCTTATAACTTTTAGTACTTTTTAGTTTCATAGGTCGGCCCTACAAAAAATAGTTGAACTTTAGTTTGGAAGTAATTGAAGAGTCATTGGTTTTATTAACTTTTGTTAAAAATCACCCAGTATGGTTCTGAATTACATGCTAGATCTTATATCATAAAAGTTTTTCTTTAAAAGTATATCAATCTCTCAAAAGAATCAGAGATTTCAAAATTCATAATCTTTTTTATTAAAAGCATTTAAAAAAATTATTGCTACTAGCAGTAAGCAACTCGTATTAGGGTTATAATTAAATAAATTAATAACTGCAATGTAATTTGATATATTATCTGAGAATATAAAAATACTAATTTATCTATAAATTTTCTTTTTGAATAATAAAGAAATAAACATAGTTGGCTAATTTAGCAACCTAGCTCTACATATACTGTCATAATACTTGTTAGTTTAATGTCCTAGCTCTAAATAATAAATTTTGATTATTATAACTGAGTGATTTGACTGTTACTTTCAATAATTATTAGTCGTTGATATTTTCAGATTTACTAAAAGTCTAAAAGTTCTCTAAACTGGGACTCCATTAACAAAATTAGCTTTGTTAAACATTTTTTAAGATAAAAAATGTGATGTTAATAATAAAACAATAATTGTTTATAAATTTAGTACATTTGTAAACATATCATTGTTTAATGACATAACTTGTAATATATATTCATTAACTATACTAAACATAATAAACTTTTTATGTATAAAATACATAAAAAAACAAATTTATAGATTTAATCTAACTCTGTTGGATAAAATTTTTAATAAGTTAGCAATGACTATCTTATTGATGACTGTCTTATTATATGCCAACATTTTTTTACTGTACTTATACATAAATAGTCTTAAACATTTTGTAGCAAACTTTATTTTTGAACTGTTTTAATTAAATGTTTTTGATCTCATCCTTTATATTTTCTATATACGATACTACTTTTGTGTGTGTGGGTCTGCTTCTAACAGTTCCTGGTTTGACCTAACTTGTATTATTGTTAATGAAGTTTTATTTTTATGTGTATACAGAGCATAACATGTCTGTTATAGGATTGCTTTTACAAGCAGGTTGTTTGAGCTAGTGTGTCTGTTTTTTATATTTAAAAAAATGTTTTGTTATATTACCTGTATTGCATTTATTTTTTGTGTACTTACAAAATTACTACAGTTATATACATAATTAATGTTACCACAGAAAAAGATGCTTGTTTCTAGATTATGTCTGAGCTAGCTTTTAGACCCAGACGTCAGAGATAAATGTTTAGAAAAATTAGAAAATAATAATTTTTATTATTTTTTATTATCATTTAAATTTTATTTTATAATTTTTTGTTTTTATTTTCTTCTTGATACATTATTTGGTATGGAATTCACAACTCTCATTGTCCATATTATATAATCTATATTTAAATAAAAATCTGTTTTTATGTTATCTAAAAAAAGAAATTTAAAAACCATATGAGTTATTTGTTGAAAACAAGTTAAGTCTATTATCTTCTTAAAATTGGTATTACAAGGTGTCTACTGTTACTTACTAATGTGTATAATGTTAAAAATTAAATTCTATAATTGATATTGTAATTAATTATAATCATTTAAAACTCATTAGAATACTCTAGAATATTAGTTAAGCATACAGAAGGTACTTTTTTATGCTGTTTTTTTTTGTAACTAAAAAAAAAAAAACAGGATAAAATACCATACCATTGATGACCATCAGCAATCAACCTATTTAACAAGTTCCATTAAAAATTGTTTTTTAAACAATATTTTTAAATTTCACTCATTAAAGTATTTTTTAGGTGTTAGTAGTATTTTGGTTGAAAAAAATTTGCATGCAAAAAACTATATAGATAAAAATTTGATTTTAATTGAATTAAAAAAGAGCAAATGTTATGCCCATTTTAATACATTTATGTTTGTTTTTTTCAATATTTCTGATTTATTTACTTATAATAAAATTTTTCATTTTAATACATGTTTTAAAAAGGTAAATTAAAAAAAAAGGTTTATTTGTTATTATAAAAGGTTGCACGATGTACAAAAATTATAAATGCTGACTCAGATGATCCCCAATATATTATTAATGTTAAACAATTTGCAAAATTTGTCGTTGATCTCGGTGATCAGGTTGCTCCAACTGATATTGAAGAAGGAATGAGAGTTGGAGTGGATCGAAATAAATATCAAATTCACATTCCACTTCCACCAAAGATTGATCCAACAGTTACAATGATGCAGGTAAAATTTATTTCAATAAACAGTTACAATGATGCAGGTAAAATTTATTTCAATAAACAGTTACAATGATGCTGGTAAAATTTATTTGAATCAACAGTTACAATTATGCAGGTAAAATTTATTTCAATAAATTTGTTATATAATTGCTATATATTTATTAGCTAATTCCATTTCAAATAAAACATTTTATGATATGTTTAATGCATCTTACACAGACCACTTTTAAATGAAACTTGTTTAATGTACAATTTCTTATGATCTATGGTTTTGAGAAAACCGTTTTTTGATAAAATATTTCCCCTTTTTATTTTATAAAGTCTATAAAGAATTAAAACCTTTCTACCAAAAAGCTATCCTGCAAACTTCTTCATTGACATTTAATAATGTTGTCAATGTTTTCCCTTTTTTGATGGTAAAATTGTTAAGGGAAAAAAAAAACTTTAAATAAGCTATTTTTAAATTATACATTGAATAAGAACCACATAGTTTTTTAGGATTTGCTTTTTATTTGCATTGGTGTATCAGGCCTTGTGATGAATAAAAACTGCGCGACGCATGAGCACGACGTGATTTTTGACGTCATTAAATTCTTTTTATTTGCTTTTCATATTTATTGACATTAACTGCACCAATTTACTTAATTACCGCAAAACTACTTTAAATCATTAATGTAGAAATGTTATTATTTAAATTTGTTTTGGAATGTTTTTTTTTGGAATCCAATTCTTGGAAGACGTAAAATACACATCGCCCGACGCTTTATTTCAAGGCCTGGTGTATATAATTTATTATTGATAGTTATATTTGTTTAATTAAAGTTTGTTTAATAAACTCCATTTTTATATATTTTAAAATGTTTTGAGATTTTATGTTTTTTAGAGATTCAAATTTTTTTCTTAAGGTTGAAGAAAAACCTGATGTTACTTATGCTGACGTTGGTGGCTGTAAAGAGCAAATAGACAAACTCAGAGAAGTTGTTGAGACACCATTATTACATGTAATAATTTCATTTTTATTATCATTATTATTCAGTATTATTAGTATTATAACTATTTTCAAGAGTCAAGTTGAAATTTGCATAGTATTATTGTAAAAGTTTTCTATCCTAATTTCGTTTTTTATGGTTTTCTTAATATATATTTAAAATATATTTGAATCATTCTATTATTTTTTTTACTGTGAAACAGAAATATATTTGAATCATTCTAATATATTTTGTTACTATCAATCAGAAATATATTTGAATCATTCTAATATATATTTTGTTACTATCAACCAGAAATATATTTGAATCATTCTAATATATATTTTGTTACTATCAACCAGAAATATATTTGAATCATTCTAATATATATTTTGTTACTGTCAACCAGAAATACTCTATCAAGATTAAGTAAATCATTTGGTTTCAAATTTCTTAAATTTAACACAGCTTATAGAAATTTTTTGACTAAATTTTTTGATTGGTGGACATAATTATGATTTTGGTTTATATAAAAATCTTTCGATACATTCAGAAAATGTTTGTGCATATAATTCTGAGTTAAAAATAAAAACCAGAAATAAAATTATTTTTAAGACAGGACTGATAATTTTATAACATCTTGTTTAAAGTGTCACTTATAATACCATAACATCTTGTTTCTTTATAATGAGGCACAATAATAATAACAGTAATACTTTTAGTTTAAAGGTTCTGAATTTTATTATTTTAAGATATTACATTTATTAAACCCTTTTTAACTAAATGAATGCACCTTATTAAACTATATGAATGCACATTTTTAACTGTATGAATGTACCTTTTTAACTGTATGAATTTAGTTAGTTTGATTTTTTTTGCTTTAGTTGTTATGATTTTTTTTTCTGACCTCATTACCAGATTCTTATTGTTTTTATCGGAGTTAAAATCAAGTAAATTGCCAGGTCATCACAATACATCATTTTTGTTACAAGGAAACCATAACACTTTTTTGTTGTATGTATATAAGTATAATATAAGTCAATACTTTTTGTATTATGTTCTGAATGAAAAAGCTCTTGATGTTGTTTGATGTTTAGAAACAATATAGAAAAATCCAAAAAAAAAAGAAAAGCAAAGTTGCATAATTTTGTTTAATTTACAATTGAAATTTCAATTTATTGTTGAAAAATAATAAATAATATAGTGTTTTTTTATGAAATACAGTTTTTTTCTTTGTAACAACATCCTTTAAAAAAAATTGTTATAAAAATACCTAATAGAATAATGCATCAAAAAAATTTGTTTTTGCTTGAAAACTTTGAAAATTTTAACTTTTAATTATTTTTACGTGTGTAGTTAAATGTAACATGCGTATAAATGTAAAAACACGTCTCTCAATATTTCACTGAAAATGTATACAAAATATGTCTTCCAGGGCTATCTCCAGAAAGAAGGTTTAGTGGGTGTCTAACCCCCTTACAAAAATTTTCTTCTAAAATTAAATGCTAGATAAGTAAATGAGACCTTGTTGCATTTACTGGGTATCCAAAAGTAAGTAACAAACCTAGGTAACAGGGTTTTAACTACTACCATTTTGTTTTTATTTTTAAATACATGTTCTTATACATTTTTTACAATTTATATTCAATGACACCTGTCATTGAATATAAACTGTAACAAAATACAGTTCTGCCATTTTGTTTTAATATTATTTTTAACAGAGACTTTTTATGCCTCACTTAAACCAAATGGCTTTTTTTTTCATGGTGTAAGTTACTTACATCTTATGCAGTATATATTTGCAATATTATAAAGATGGTTAAGCACCAAGCCTACTTATACAACATAATTGATAACAATGAGTTTGTATTAAAAAATGATTCATGTAGTATTCTTTTTCAACAGCAATATATTATACCTGAAATTGTTAAGTGCATTTTGCTGCAATTACTTTTATTTTGTTTGGTGTAGCTGTTAATTTTACTGCAAATACTTTTATTTTACTTGGTATAACTGCTAATATTGGTAAAGCTGCTAATTTTGCTGCAATTTAGAAAACTTTCAAACTTTGCATTTAATTTTCTTATTTCAACATATTTGTTGTACATACTGGTTTTCCCCTATGTAATTCATATGTTTCATCCAACAATTAACACCGTCTGTTTTTAGTTAAATTATTAGAAATAAAATTATTAGAAATTTTTCAAAATTTTACTTTTGCAACACTAGCACAACCTTATGGTGTGTACTAAGTTGGTTCATGTTAGTCCAAAATAAAAAACTTTATGAAATACTTTTCAAAAATATTGTATATTCTGTAAAATATTTCTTTCTAAAAGTATATAAAAAGTATGAAATGGTTTTTACATACTTTTGAAAACAACACTTTTTATTTGCTGCCCAATACAAAATCAAATACTATTCAAAACTATATTTCAAAGTTTTTTGAAATACTGGAATATGTTTATTTTTGCTATTTTTAAAATACTGATCATATAGTAAATGCAGAATAAAAATGAACACACTCACACAATGAAAGACATCTCAAATTAAGTGCAAAATAGTAGATGTAAAATGGTAGATGCAAAATAGTTGATGCAGTCGTACAATGAATTTTTTTTATTTGCTTACTTTGCTTACTTCATCTATAAATGCATAACATGATTTTAAGTGTTTTTTTATTCATTGCTTTATTTTTTTTTTTTAATATTAAGCCTGAGCGTTTCATTAACCTTGGCATCGATCCACCAAAAGGTGTTCTTCTATATGGTCCACCAGGTATATTGATAATTTTTTTATTTAATTTGTCTTTTTTTGCTTGATATATTTTCTTAAATTTTTTTTTATATAGTTAATTTTAAAAGTTAAATTGTTAAGTTAGAATCAGCAGCCTATTTAAAAGTGCATTTTTTATTTACTCTTTTTGTAAGCAAGATAAATTTTTTCAATTTAAACATTTTAATTTAGTTGAAACAAAGTTTATAACTTTTTAAAAAAGTTAAAGTGAACATTTTAATTTAGTTGAAACAAAGTTTTTAAAAAAGTGAACTTGTAAATACTATTATAAATTTTATACTAAAGGGTATTTTCAACAACAATTTTAAAAATGTTTTTTTTTTAACAAAAAACCATTTTTAAAAATGTTGTTGAAAATACCCTTTAGTATAAAATTATTTTATAAAAAAACATAAAGTTTAAAAAAAGCAAAAACATTCAGCTAATTATTTGAATGTTGCTTTAAATTTTTAATTTTATTTATTATTTGAATGTTGCTTTAAAGATGTAATTTTCTTTAAAAATTAAAAAAAAAAAAAATCCTTGTCAGACATTTTTATAAAATCATTTATAAAAAATAAAAATAAACATTCCATTTTCAACTAACTTTAAAATGCATCAAACTATTTGTTTAAAGTTTAGTTAACAAACTATTTGTGATAGTTTTATATAAACAATTTGAAATAATTTGTAGTTTTCTTGCAAGGAGATCTCTTGTTAGTAATTTTTCATTTCAATCTACAAATTAGTCTTGTAATTTCTTATGATAAAAAAGTTTTTAATATTGTCTTCTTATTTTTTATAATCAATTTATCAAATATGAAGATATAAAAAAGGTTATATAACAATTATGTTTTTTTTAATTATAAAAATTTTAATTATAAAAATTTTAATTATAAAAATTTTAATTATAAAAATTTTAATTATAAAAATTTTAATTATAAAAATTTTAATTATAAAAATTTATAAAAATTAAAATTTATAAAAGTTTATAAAAATTAAAATTGAAGTTTATAAAAGATTTTAATTATAAAAAAAGGTTATATAACAATTATTGTTTTTTTTAAAATTATAGCAAGTTTGAGCTAGTTAATTTAGGCACCAAAACAAAATATGTATGTCAATGCTGATTGATGTAGATTTTGTACCATCTTTTTTTTTTAATTAATGCTGACACTCTGTCATTTAAAAGGGTCTTGCCAACCAGGGGTGCATTAAAATTACTTTAAGTGCTTTTTTGATAACAGTTTTATTTGGGTAGATTTTCAGATTTGACAAAAAATCAATGTAATTTCTTATGATAAAAAGGGGCTTGAATTTTAATTGTTGAATTATCCTACTTTTTGGCATCAATAAGACAAACAAAGCCAAATTTAAAGTATTCTTGGATTCATAAAAGTTAACTTGAAATGAGTCTTAAAAAGAAAGATTTTTAGTGTGTAAATGGCCTGGCACTTCTGCAGGCCTTGTTATGAGATTTTATTGCATAGCAAAAGCTTTGATATTTGCATCATTAAAAGTTAAATCACGTCATTAGTATATTTTAAAGTACCGCATTGTAGCTAAATTCAATTTTAAACACATTAAAAATATTTATAACTAATATGACAAAAATTACTGATGAAAAATTCGATTTTGAAAAAGGTTTTATTTCCTTAAAATTTATTTCGTAAAACAATCTTGACTTAATACTTGACATAATTTTTTTGTTTGTTTCACAGTTTTACAGTTGTTTTTTTTTTACGTTTTTATTGAAATAATTTTAATAAAGATCATAAACAATTTATAGATAAATTTTATCAGTTACCAATAAGATATTCATAAACATAATTTATGTTCATAAATAAATTGTCAAAAGAACATCATGCAATATTAAATTAATAAGAAACAAAAAATTTTAAATCCATTTGTGAAAAGAATTCTCTTAAACAAATGAAGAGTTTATTTTCAAAACATGGTATGTGCAATTTTGTTTTTATGTGCTGATCTAAGTAATGTTTAATTAATAAAAAGTTTTGCGCATAAAAGTGGAATTAATTATTATTTATGTTTATTTATATAAATTATAATAAATTTTCAAATTTGTTTGTATATATAACTATTTGTTACTATTATTTATTTTTTGTTTTGTGAATTACTTTTTTTTTTATTAAGTTATTAATTTCAAAAGTTTTTTATTTAAATTGGCACATAAAAACAAAATTGCACATACCGCGTTTTGAAAATAAACTCTTCAAATACACTTCACCTTTCTTTTTAAATAAAAAAAGTTTTTTAATTTGCTTTCACATATTTTAATCTATGATGGAGAAAGTTATGTTTTACGTATGGTGGAGAAACTTATGTTTTACATAATGAGTTAGCAGATAATAAGAAAAAAATTTCTTTATTTTTCTTAAATTTTGAGATAATATTATTTCTAAAATGTTATTGCCAAGCAACCATGCAACATACTTTCCATTTTAGCTGACTAAAAGATGTTTTTAAATATATTTTTTTGATGATAAAGCACAAGTTACTAAATATATTTTTTCCAGATATTTTATAGAAAAAACTTTCAGAGTTTTCAAAATATTACCTGAATGATCACTGACTTTTATTTAAAGTAATTATTATTAGGTACTGGTAAAACATTATGTGCTCGAGCAGTTGCTAATAGAACAGATGCATGTTTTATTAGAGTTATTGGATCAGAACTTGTACAAAAATATGTTGGGGAGGTAAGATGTTTTTTTTTTTGTTTTTTTTTTTATAGTTTCAAGTCAAAAATAATTATAAAGTATAATTAACTTTTTTATTTCATTAGTTGTTTTTTAATTAAAATAATTAAATAATAAAATCGAAGTTAACATGTTTTATTTTTAAATACTTTTAATTAAAAGTATTGCAGCAATACTTTTAATTAAAAATATTAAAAAAATTTTTTTTTGCCTCTAAATGAAAAAAGTAACTAAAAATTTTATTCTAAGAAGAAAAAAAACATCATTACTACCTAGATGTTTCATTCTATTATTTACAATTATTTGTTTTTGAAGTTTTCATCTGTTGAATCTTTTGATCTTTTAAAGTTTTTATCTGTTGAATCTTGAATCTTTTTTAAAAAAAATTAATGCAAATGTTATTAATTTTTTTGTTTAATGGAGTGAATTTGCCAGTGATTAAATCAATTTCAAACCATTTACCAGTGATTAAAATTTCAAACCATTTGCAAGTAATTACCCAGCAAACATTTAGTCTAAAAAAGACGTCTTAAAGATGTCTTTTAGACGCATTAAATGTTTTTTATACATCTATAAGAGGTCTTTTTTAGACTAATTGTTTGCTGGGTAAATCAATTTCAAACCATTTGCCAGTGATTAAATCAATTTCAAACCATTTGTCAGTGATTAAATCAATTTCAAACCATTTGCCAGTGATTAAATCAATTTCAAACCATTTGCCAGTGATTAAATCAATTTCAAACCATTTGCCAGTGATTAAATCAATTTCAAACCATTTGCCAGTGATTAAATCAATTTCAAACCATTTGCCAGTGATTGCAGGTCTAATGATCATTTTCTTAATTTCAATGAATTCAAAAATATATATATTTTTTTTTAAAATACATTTTGAAAATACATATTTAAATTATAAAAATTTTCAAAAAATGATTTTGCTTTTATAAAATAAGATAAAAAATAATTGTTTTTATATAAGATGATTGTTATTTTTAAATGTTCATATAGTTTTACTTTTTTAAGACCAGTTTAAAAATTATTTGTGCTTAATATTCAATATTCTTTAGCAATCCCTAAAAATAATTTTTAGAAACTTACTTTCAAAAGATAAAGAATAATTGTTTTTATATAAGATGATTGTTATTTTTAAATGTTCATATAGTTTTACTTTTTTAAGACCAGTTTAAAAATTATTTGTGCTTAATATTCAATATTCTTTAGCAATCCCTAAAAATAATTTTTAGAAACTTACTTTCAAAAGATAAAATTATTTTAAATGCGTTTAATATTAAAACGTTTTTTAAAGCGTTTTTTTTTTAACCACACTAAATGTTATCTTTCAAAACATATGTGAAATACAATTTTTTTCTTTAGGGAGCTCGAATGGTCAGAGAATTATTTGAAATGGCTCGTAGTAAAAAAGCTTGCATAATATTTTTTGATGAAATTGATGCTGTAGGTGGTGAGTCTAATGTTCTTTTTTTTATGTTTTATTGACTAGAAATGGTGGTGTGATTATTAAAGTAACATGCTTATTATAATGCTTTTTATTTACTGCATGAAAATCACTTTATTTACTGCATGAATATCACTTTATTTACTGCATGAATATCACTTTATTTACTGCTTGAATATCATTTTATTTACTGCATGAATATCACTTTATTTACTGCATTAATATCATTTTATTTACTGCATGAGTATCATTTTTTTTACTGCATGAATATCATTCATGTGATTAATTTTTAACAGTAGAAAAATTAAAAAATTAACAGTAAAAAAAGTAAAAAATTTCAACTTATCGAGCAATATTTTTTAAAGAATTCAAAGAATTTTTCAAAAATTTTGCTTCGGAGTCGGAGTTGTACTCAAAAAATTTCAACAACTGGAGTTGGAGTCGTTACTTTTTTTTTACGACTCCACACCCCTGGTTGATTGTGGTTATTAACTTATTGATAATAGGTTAATGACCACAATAGGCCAGAATAGGAGTATAGTGATCTCACAGACTATTTCCTAATGGTGAACCAACAATAGGCTACGATTTGATTAATTGATCTGTTAGACTGTAAAAGTTTAATGCTTGTTATGATGCTTGTTATGATCCCTAGATGCCTTTATGGGTATAAATATTTATAAATAAAAATGCAGTAATGATGTAGTGGTAGAGTGCTCACTTCATATATTAGAAGTTTCAAGCTCACCACATTCATGATACTGCCTTCTCTGTGCAACAGTTTTTTTTGTCGTGGTTTGTGTTTCAGAGTTGTAGCCACAGTTTTAAAAAATTATTAAATATAAACAAATAAAAAAAGCCTCTTTGACTTTTGTGGCGCTTTTGGCTTTGGAGAGGTAAATAACATTAAAAAATATATATACACAAAATTATTTTGCCAAAATATTAGTCATTTTTATCTTCTATATTTGAAATTGCTATTGCGGAAGTTGTACATGTGCAAATTCACAAGAAAAAAACATTTTCTCTTATCACCTCATAGCTTGAGCCGCTTTGCGGTAATGGGGGGGGAGGGGGTTGTGTTAGTATAAAATTGTATTTTTTGTATATAATTGTTATTTTTTAACATATTATCTCTGATTTGAATATTATCTTATAATTTTCTCATTTGGTGGAGTTTAAAATAGTGTAAGTTACTGTTAGAATGTTCAGCCTAATTTATAATTTAAAGTTTAAGTTGCAGTTACAGTGTAATGAGCAAGTAACGTATTTAATACTATTAAGATATTACTTTTAGTAATTTTTTTTTACTTGACATGATACTTAGAAAAATAAAAGTAAAAAACTAAGAGTAAAAAGCAAACATTACAATATTTAAACCACATTAGTCATAGAAAACTATTTATTATGTTCATGCTGATGTTAAAACATGTGTTTAAAGAGTATTATATAAAACATATATTTAAGGAGTATTTAATTGTTATTGTAAAAAGCTATAAAATAACAATAATACAAATTGCAAAGAAGTTTTAAAAATATAAATAGCTTGTATAAAACAATATAAAACATGTTGCTGTTTTGTACAGTTTATAACCTTTATAACATAAAATGCATTTAAAATAAAATGAAGCAAATAAATGAAATTGTTCTAATTAATAAGTTAAAAAATTATCGTCATAAAACTTCATATTTGTGGAAAAACATGCCTATAGACAATACAAGTCTATAATCTATATACCAAATAATATATTTATAATTCAATGTTTCTTGATCTAGAGGACTAATAAAAGTTTAAATATAATTAAGTTTTTCATTCAAATGGCTTTTTAATTAATGTTTTCATTTAATTATTTTATTAAAATTGTTTTCCAATAAAAAATGAAACAAAAAAAATTGTTTTAATAAATCGAATTATATTTCCTTAAATTTAAGAATATGCTTAAAAACGTTGAAGCAAAAAAGTTGCTGATTTCTATTAGCATTGGTTAACTACTAAGAAAAAAAAATTATAAAAACAAATTAATATATATTTTAACATACTTAAAGTAGTAAAGTTAATAATATAATATTGTTGATAAAATAATAATTTAAATTATTAATAAATTAATTTGGTAAAAAATAAAGGTAAAAACCAGGCTGTTTTGTTAAAAAAAAAAAGAATGAAGAAAAAATTTGCTTTAACGTCTTTTACCTTTTCAACTTTTTGCTTTAACAACCTTTTAAATATTATTGGCTTCCACACAGAGATTTAAAGTAATTTAAATTCAAAAGTGTTTTACGTTAAATGAAAATCTCCAAAAAAAACTGTTTTGCAAGTATTTTTTTTTCAAAAAAATACTTGCGAAACAGTTTCTTACAGAAAGAGCATTTTAGAATGTGTACTTATGAAAAAGACTCAAAAGCATTCATCAAGCTGTTATACAAAAAATGTTATTTTTAATTATTTAAATAAAAATAATATTGTTAAATGATTCTTCAATAATTTGTACATATATATATATATATACAAATAGTATTGTGTACTATGGTAAGCAATCTGACATCATACTGAAATAGCCTGCTGCTGGGGGCTTCAGTACATACATCGACTGGCAAATAAAATATATATATATATTAGGGTGGAGCGATTTGCATACTTTTTTGGAAATTCAACTTAAGTAACCTGGGAGTAAGTTCAACAGGGTAAAATATGAACTATTTCTGTTCACTTTGAAGCAAACTAGTTGCACCATTTGATGGGAGATTTTTATGAGAGAGATATGAACCATTTTTAAAACTATTTTCATTAGTAAAAGTTAAATGATGTTCTTTTTCAGTAACTCTCAACAAGTGAGTTTCTCCATGTTCAACAACATCCTTAAACTGAAGAACATTTTTATCATCTTTATCATCAACACACCAAGTTACTTAAATTATTATCATGTTGATTTACCTGTAAAAATAGTTAGTATTCAAAGTATGAAAAAAGCCATATATCTCAAGCAGCATACTTTGTAGGACCAACATTTAAAAAACATTGAAATTGTTGAAACAAAGCTATTTTAACGTTGCTGGGCTATTTTTGCGTGGCCCCAACAAAGTGTGCTGTTTGTGATATATATATATAATATATATATATATATATATATATATATATATATATATATATATATATATACACACACAAATATACATAAAAATGTTACCAAAACATCTGGATCGGATGCTGAAACTTCAGATATGTGACCAGAATCAATCAATGAGTTATGGGCGTAAGGCATTTCAACATGATCTATAAGCTCTACTTGAACTAACCTTTCTGGAATAAATGTACATGATTTTAAATCAGCTCTTCTTAGCTGATAAATACCTTTAGGACCAATCTTGTTTCTCTGGTCACGAATATTTGCCCTGTCTTCAAAAGGGACCTTAAATACAATTATTGAAAACAATCTATATCAGTTTAATTGAAGTGAAATAATTATATATGATTAATAAATAATTGCAGATTAAAACAACAAATATTTTAGTATCTACAATAATATATAAAAAATGTAATCAAATACCTTTCTAGTTTTACAAAGACACAAAATGTGCTCTACTTTGCAATTGATGATGCTACACTTGAAATCTCTGTCATTACATAAAACAGTTGCTAATTCACAAGTACATGATGAAATATCAAAGTTTATCTAAAATCAAATCTTGATACTCCTTACTTTGAGATCTTCAACGTCCTCGGTTTATAGATTTTACTCTTTCAAAAAGATTTCGTAATTTTCTTAAGATTGAATTTCTCTGAAGAAGAGGAAGACGTGGGTTTAATTTATTCCACAAAGTACTCAAAGAATTTTCAACCTCTTCTAGTAGATTCTGTTTTTAAATGTTTTGGCTATTGTTTTCAGTGAAATAAAAAAACTGAATTACTTGACGAAATGTTGGAAGATCAGCTGAAGGCAATTCTGATGGGAGATCTCCGTATTTCAGACTATTTTCTAAACGAGTTTTCCTTGGTTTGCTTTTAGGCATTTTTTCTATAAATTATTTGCTATTTATAAATTATAATCTAAAAGCAACAAAACAATGCGCAATGCGCATACCTACTTTGAAAAAAAATTGGAAAATGGCGGTTTTCCACAAAAATAGATTGTCTTAATAAATGTACATTTTTGTAAACCAGCCATTTTCCAGGCATTATTAGCAAATACATGTTATACATATTATTATTATTTTTTGATAATCTTTTTACTCCAGGTTTACTATAGTTCTGATTCCAAAATCACTCCACCCTAATATATATATATATATATATATATATATATATATATATATATATATATATATATATATATATATATATATATATATATATATATATATAGTGACCGAAGAAGGTTAGGAGAGTTGTGGGGGCTGAAACAGAACAAACATTAAGGGACCTAACAGAAAATGGAGATTTACTATTTAATACTCATATATAAAAATCCAGTAAAATATTTGGTTCCATTACAAAGTTTAAATTAACTTCACGTGTTGTTTGGCTGTAGTCAATTCTCACTGAATCTTGCGATTAATTTATCACTACCTTTCAGACTAGCTACAGCTCTGAAACTTTAGGCACCTGTGTGGTCCTAGTGAACTTCTATGTTAAAATTGTTTCCAGTGGCAAAGACTTTTGCCCCTGAGTAAGGGTCGAGTATTGTATGTGCCTTCTTTTTTGCTACAAAGTCTTGCAATTGATTTTTGACTGCCCTCCGAAATAGTTAGTGTTTTGAAACTTTTAGCAGTTTTATAGTCTCAATGACATTGGGATGTTGTATATTAAAACATTTTCTAGGGTCAACGACGCATGGGGAAACAAGTGTTTTTCCTAGCTTTTCACCCTAACTTTTTTTTTTAATAAAGGAAAACATTTTTAAAAAAATTTTTTAAAAAGTTTTCTTTAAAATTTTATAAATTTACTTCTTGTTATTAAGATAATAAATAGAAGACTCATTTAACAGAGAACCTCAAAAATAATTAAGTGA